TATTTTTTAAAAATATAATCTTTATTGTAATTTTTTATATTACCTTTTACTCCCCTTAGACTCCCCTCCCCACAGCAGTCACCACCCTGTTGTCCATGTCCATGAGCCCCTTTCCCTTTTTGCTCAACCCTTTCCCTCTACTCACCAACCACCTTCCACTCCCCGCCCTCCACACACACGCACTAGCTGTCATCCTGCTCTCCATCTATGAGTCTGTCCCCATTTTTAAGACAGGGATTCCCTTGTCCTTTAAAGATAACCTCCTAGAGGTCCCGGAAAGCATTTCTCTTTTCACTTTACTTGCAGATAAAACTAGAAATAAGTTTGTTTTTTTAAATTTCTGGAGGCTGTATGCCTAGCTGAAAAGGAGTTTGAAAATCAAGATTGCACAGAATTTTGGAATAGTATTTTTGAGCAAGTAACTCTTAACATCATTCCATTCCAAACTTCTTGTTCACTCATGAGGAGAGTGAGAAGCACAGAAGTGATTAGTTATGATATATGTAGTGGTAGAAACATGATCTGAACCCAGGTTTCATGGACCACAGTTTGATATTCTTGATGCTCAACTAACCTATGAAATTAATTTAGGGATGATGGTGTATGGGCATAGATCATAAGCAAGTGGTTCTCAGAGCAGATAGATATAGATATATGGTTATTTAACATAGAAAAAGTATTGAATGTTACTACAAGACAACCTAAACAAGAAAGCTTATACTCCTTATTGGGCAAAAATCGTCCTCACCGATGTTGGGATGGTGGGATGTAAATGAGTATTTCTGGAAGACAATTTGTTCATAATAAAATCCTTTAAAAAATGTCGACTGTTTTCCTCAGTAAGAGTCAAGTGCTTGGATGTGTACGTACAAGGATAGTCACCAGTGTTTCATTCAAGGATAAAACACTAAGAATTTTCTAAATGTCTATTTTCCCCTTTTAAATAGCCATCTTCTCTTCGGAGAGTGACAATTGCTTCTTTACCCAGGAATCTTGGGAACGCAGCAATGGTAAGCAATGCCCTAAATGTTCTGTCAAAACCAAATTAATTTTCATGTAACAAAAATGTAAGCTTATTTCACTAAATTAATATTTTGTCATTTCTTTAACACTGGAACATTGAAGGTGGCTGGGATGGAAAACAATGACCGATTCAGCAGGAGGTCAAGCAGTTGGTAAGTGTAATTACATGGTTGCTCTTTGGGAACTTTGCTGTTTTGAACTGTGCTAAAGTAAATGTGTGAATTTGATATAAGCAGAATAATTATAAAAATTGGCACACTACGAAATTGTTTTAAGTGTTATGTGAGTGCCAAGGAAAATAATTAGAACATATAATTTTTGAATTGATTTAGGCAGTAGGAAATAAATTAATAATGGCTATGGATGTATTTGATTTGACAAGTGGATATAATCATCTCTATGTAGGCGTATTTTGGGGTCAAAGCAGAGCGAACACCGTCCCTCATTACATCGATTTATCAGCACCTATTCCTGGGCAGATGGTGAAGAAGAAAAATGTGAGCTAAAGTAGGTGAAGTTTGGTGTGCTTGCTAACCTGACGTGAGCTGGGGCATGAACAGAGGGGAGCGTTTTAATTCTGTGGAGATGAAATCAGTGCTGCATGATCAAAAGGATAGGCCATTGTTTGAGACTTACAAACTATAAGGCATTATGGAAATGCTATTTGTGAACACATTCACTCTCGTCGTGCTCAGAACTGAGACAGTTGGGGTCTTAAGTCAGAAAAGACCCTGAAATTTGCCGGATTTGTGAAGATAATTTTTTTTCCTGTCTAGGCATCTGGCCAGCAGGGGGGAAGGTGAATAAAGAGCCACAGAAGTAAAATGTCCATTTAAAAAAAATACATGAATTTTATATATATGAATTATATATATATATAAAATATATAAAATGTAGGCACATATGTAATATATGTGCATTATATATATTTTCCCTTTACATAAATAAAGAGCAAGGGAAACATAAAACTCTCTATTAGTATCTCTATATCTAGCAAGTTAAACAAGACATACTTCTAAAGCACAAGGGCAAGGACAGGAAGCAGGGACATGAACAAATGCCTCTAAGTCATTGGGTGACATTGGACAAATTGCTTTAAACTTACTTGGTCTCGATTTCTCACCTGTAGAGAGCTTAGTGAAATTATTTTACGTTCATGTTACACATGCTCACTGAGTACCTGCTATGCAACAGACACTGCACTCGGTCTAAGGTGTACAAAGATGATTACAGGACACAGTGCCTCCAGGGTGTCCAACCCACAGCCCGAGGGCTACCTGCGGCCAGGATGGCTATGAATGTGGCCCAACACAAAATCGTAAACGTACTTAAAACCACTTTTTTTTTTGCTCATCAGTTTTCATTAATGTTTGTGTATTTGATGTGTAGCCCCAGACAACTTCTCTTCCAATGTGGCCCAGAGACGCCAAAAGGTTGGACACCCCTACAAGTTTCTTGTGTTTCGTGCGTGTGTTTAAATAATCCTGTTGCATGTACTGAAAACTCTTTTAGAGTTACCATAATAGATATTCTCTGATCTGGGGTGGAAAAAAAATCAAGAGTTTCCTACAAAATAAAACAATCCATTACTTGTTTTTTGTTATTATGGTATGATTTCTTACTGACAAGTCTTTGTAAACAAAAGACTGAAACCTCGAGAATCCTACAAGAATGCAATTGATCCTGGCTTTGGGGCCTTGTTTCCTTTCCAAACTAAACTGGAGTCTACCACATACACTCCCTATATTTGTTTGACTAAAGTACTATCTTTGAGACACAGTTCCCTTTGGCAATTGTGAGGGCATTATGAGCTTGAGATATCAAAACTCAAATCAAACTAGGAACTCATCAACAAACATAGTAATGCAACAAAGTTTTGTTCAGGTAAGGGAATCCTCCTGTAGATAATATGATTTTATTTAAAATAACATCCATTCAATTGCTATTTGCCAGATCACTGAATACTGCTAGCATATCTTAACTAGCTTTACACTGAGAATATTTTCATAAGCAGTTTTAAAGTCAATATTTTTGGGAAAAGAGAAGAAATAACACTTTTAAGTCATTCCAATTTAGCATTGATCAAAAAAACCTACAAAGAGTAAAATCAATTAAGACAGGTTATTAAAGCCCAGGTGGTAGAATACTACTTAATGAAAACAAAATGGTTAACTATATAAATTTGGTGATTTGATGTTTAGAAATAGATATTTATCAAATTGTTCTAAAGCAAAACAAATATTTGTGAGCATGTTTATTAATACAGTAAAATTTAGCAATACTTTATAGCATTTTATCTTTAGTTTTGAATATTTTTAAAAAATACTTATTTACAGAACTAAAGATGACTCAGAACCACCTGGAGAAGAAATAGAAGAAAGGACAAGAAAGCCAAGTTTTTCTGAAAAGAGAAATAATCCATCAAAATGGGATGTCTCTTCAATGTAAGTCGTCTGTCTGCCAAATTATATCATTTTGGTGGAATTGGGAAAGGTAAGGCAGGGTTAACAGTATTACTCTGGATTAAATCACTTTACTGAAAGACCTGTCAAGTCCTTAAATTTAAGATGAATAACAAACTTCATATGGTCTCCAGGGGTTATCCCTGAACCTATGAGTTACAACAGGCAGGAGCGTTCCATGCTGGAACCTGGCCTTGCAGCCAGATGGCCGTGGCTCAACTCCAGCTCACTAGCTGGCTGTGAGACCGGGCACGCTCATCCATCTTTGAGCACCGGTTTCTTCATCTATAAAACAGGAGGGAGACTAGTACCTATGCCATTGTCTTGTTGTCACAATTAAATGGATTAGTGTGTGTAACATGCTTAGTACAGGGTTTAGACCAGAGTTAATGATTTTCAAAAACTTAAGTGATACTGTAATAAATTTTTGGGTGGGTGTTTCTTAAAGAAATAGAGTTTAAATTTTAGTTCACCAAAAACATCTAAGGTGTGGTAAGAAATAAGTGACATGTTCATATATACACATATACTCTACTCAGTAAATATATTGTTTCAACTGTAGGGACATGTCCTACCTGATTGAGAGAATGAGATTCTCATATGTAGGCACTTGTTAGGAGTTACACAATGCCTAAATCATGTAATTTTCAGATTCTAACCATAACATGTTTATTTCTTTAATTCTAACAATTATAAGGGGGTGGGGCAGGTTGCGGCCAAAGCCAAACAACAGATTACATTGTGTGTAGCTTATCACAGAGCGGTGTTACGGGTATACACGGTAGGTTGATGACTTGATTGGTATTGCTGACAAAAGGAGTGTTTCTAGTAACAGGTTGCTGTAATGACCAAATTCTGAATTTGTGTTTCCCTTGTAGTTATGACATGATGGCTTCCTGGGCAACAAATCTCAAGACTTCCATCAGAAAGGCTAATAGGGCACTCTGGCTCTCTGTGGTGTTAATTGTACTATTTGCAGCTTTGATAAGCTTCCTCACAGGCCGGTTTTTCCAGAAGTCCGTGGATGCTGCTCCCACCCAGGATGGGGATTCCTGGATGTCTCTAGAACATATCTTGTGGCCATTTACTCAACTCCGACACAATGGTCCGCCACCAGTGTGACTGTAGAACATCCTAGCGTGTGTATCTTGGTTTTTAAAGTTTCATTATCTGAATTTTGTAAATTAGTGACTTTTAGCTGGGAGAATAGAGCCTGGAACCAGAGGTTCTCAGAATGACTATAAGATTTTTAAATTCCCTTTTTTGTGTGTGAATACCTCCCCATGATCTTTTAATGAGCTTTTTGAGGAGAAGATATTATATATTGTTTGTTAAAATTTATTGTTAAAATTTATTGAAATAAAGAATCATTAAATCTTCATACAATGAAAGCTAACTCTCAGTGGGCTGGTAATCATAGGGGGGGAAAAACCCACATTTAAAAAAATAAAATTTGAGTGTAATTGCTGATTAGACCATTTTAGCAGCCTATTTGAAATATATTTACTTGCTACATTTTATTGAGGAAATACCCGATTTTTCTCCAAGTTGCTTGATTCTTCATACTGAATAAAATGTATCAGCAGAGACTACGAATAGCTGAGTAATCTAATCGAGAGTAGCAGATGGCACACAGTGTCAATAAACTGGCAGTCGGAGCTCCTAACTTTCTCCATTGCTCCTTCAGAAGCAAAATCTTTAACCATGTGATAGACAGTGGAATGAAACTCGGTTTCTTCTTTAACAGCTTCAGAGAAAGCCTCACTATGTTCGTCAATCTTGAGCCTTTGTGCTCTATCACCGTTAAACATTAAAAGAGCCCAATTCGAGTTTTGAATAGGTTCTTCTTCATTAGTAAGGTGTTCACTCACCTAAAGAAAGAAAATTAGAGAAATCCTCTTCTATTAGTTATTTTGGCAGGATAGTATCATTCAAAGGGCTCAACTCAGTCCCCTAAATATTGGTGTTTACAGAACTTATCAAAATGTATTAATTCCTTCAACAAATATTTATTGAGTGGCTATTATGTGCCAGATACTATTCTAGTTGCTGGGGATGTGCTAACAATAACAACAAAACAAAAAAAAACACAGAATATTAATCAATAATGATGATTGATCAAGTTATTAATCAATAACTCAAGGAGCTTACATTCTACTGGGAGAAACACAATAAACAAGATAAATAAATATGGTGGCTAAGTTACACTAAAACATTCGTCAGTCAGCTTTTAGAATTTAGCAGGCCTGAGAGTCAAATTGGAGGCCTCGATCTCTCAGAGGAGCGTCTGTGAATCATAGATACACATTCGCATTAAAGGCTCCCATTTGTTCCTGAGGCACTATGAAGAGATCTGACTCTAGTCTGAAATCAGGAGCATTTGGTACCATCATAGACAAGGAAGGCAGAACTTTTACATAGTTTAGTTTTATATTTTTGACAATTTTTTTAAAAAGTTTTAAAACTATTTTGAATGATAATTTGTTTTCATCTTTTTAAGGGGAGAAATCATGGTCTACATTCATTTGTCTTTTGAGTACCTTTTCCTTTGAAGGACAAAGCAGTGTTATGGTTTTTTTGAATACTATACCTTAAATACAACATTGTTAGAACCACATTGCATATTCCACCTGCTCCAACCAAATGCAAAAGCAGGACTTAGCAGGGACATTTGTCGATAAGCTTTCATTTCTACCAAAGGCACCTGTCACAATATACAAACAAACAGAGCTGATCATAGAGCCTTCTCAACAACTCTCCCTTCCATTCTTGGCCTCCTATAATCTATTCTCAACACAGAAAAATCCACTTAAAATGTAAGTCAGGTTACATGATTCCTCTCAAAACAAAGCAATGACGTTTTCATTTTCTCAGAATAGAATCGAAATTCCTGACAGTGGTCTACAAGGGTCTTCGTGACCCATGCTCCCTTGAGTACACCCCATTATCTCTGACCTTGTCTTTTCTTCTCCCTTTGCTCTCTCAGCTCAAGGCACCTGGCCTCCTTGCCTGGCCTCCTTGCTGCTCCTCCACTATTCAAGCACACCCAGCCACTGAGCCTGGAAGCTGCTCCTATGATACCACTTGGTGAAATTCCCCACCTCGAATCTTATCTTCTCACTGAGCCCCCAATATCCTATTTGGTACTGTGCACTGCCCTAAGCCTAGTGTTTCTGATCTACATTTTCTTTTTCTCATAGCACTTTATCCATCTTTGACATGAAACCATTTTATTTTTTTTATGTTTATTGCTTATTTTTGCCTCCCTCTACTAGAATGTAAGCTCCACAAGGACAGGAACCTTTTTTAAAAAAACTTATTCACTACTGCATCCTAAGCAAATAAAACAATGCCTAGAACATAGGTGCTCAGAAAAAGAAATTCTTTAATATTCTGAAAACATTAATGTACACTACATTCAGCATATGCAGAGTAACCAGTCATTTGAGTTACTAAAACTAAGGTGGTTTTATTTTTTCCTACACATATACACATTCATATTGATATAATTCTTTTTAGATGTTACATGAATATCTGCCTACATTTTCATTTTTGGTATATTATGAACTTGTTTTTGAGTATTGAACTTGTCTGCCCAAAACACCTTTCATGACTAGAAACTACTGTGTCTTCATTTACATGTCATGAATGTTTATTAAAAGTCTGCTGTATTCTAGGAATATGGTAGATGCTAGAAGAATCAATCAAAGTTGGTTAGAAAACAGTCCCCATCTTCAAAGAGCTCACAGGTTAGCATAGAAGGATCTCATTTAACTAAAGCCTTACAACACAAAGCAGTATGTGAACCAGGGGGCTGGCTCTGCCAGAAACAGGCGGAAGTGGGTTTTGTCTACTGGTTGTTCGTGTGTGTGTGTTTTAATTTCACACAACTTGTCATGGCTGGGAAACTGCTGAGTCACTTTTAAGAAATCTCTCATGTATCCCGTCTGGAAGAAAGAAGAAGCTGTAGAAGACGTGAAGTTGCCCTGACTCTGTCTGCACTGACCCCAGCCAGCTGTGGACATGCTCCATGTGTCAACATGGAGATCACTCTGAGGCTTACTTTCTTGGGGAAATTGTTAAACTTGTGAGAACCCTGAATTTCTGGTCTTGCCATTTATTCCTTCCTTTCTAACTATATAATCTCATGTAAGTGAATAGAGAAAACCCATAATGGACCTTAAGATTTATATAAAAGTTAATATTGCTAGCATTCTAAATGTCCATTACATGAAATTTGGAAAGACTCATTCTTACCTTATAGTTTGTAACAACATAAAAATGAGAGTGACCAGTAGGAAAGATATTCAATCCAGCTTCTTTCAAAGCAATAATGAAAGAATAAAGAGTCATCCATTTTCCTTCCAAAATAGAGTAATGATTTTTATTTTTTAGTTTAATTGAAGCTAACATGCAGAGGTCTCCCTAGTTTCAATGAGGAAAAAAAGTTTTCAATAAATCATTACTTCATTATCATTTGTGTTCTAGCCTTTGGGTTCTTTATACCATCTTTCAAAAACCCTATTTCATTCTACATCAAAAAGAATGCAGGACAGATAGGTTCTGGGACCACTCTGACAGCTCTCCCACAAAGTCTCCATGTTACCTTAAGCAGTTTGTCAGTTCTTGGGCTTTAATCTGAACAATCAAGAGACCCGACTAAAGGGTCTTGCAGGTCTCCTATTTTATAAGCTATAACCTAAGAATACTGCGTGTGTTTCTATTGAATAGTAACAGCTATTTGACAGTAGTCATGGTACAACCTTTAAGGATAATTTCTTATCCATATAAGATTTAACATAATAACGCAAAATCATCATACAGTTTTAAAGTTCACAAAGTTTGAACTGGCACTTTGAAGGTGTAAAGAATTCACACCTCTCATCTGCTTTTAAAAGCAAAATTTGATGTTATCTAGTCTTCCTGTCACATTCATAAGGGATTTCAGGCTATCTCTCTTAGAACAATTTTAGTGTGGTGTATTTTATATATCATAAGTTTACCCATTTCAAGTGCATCATGCAATGATTTTTTTGTAGCTTTTTTGAGTGGTGTGGCTATCACCATAAATCAGTTTTAGAACATTTTCTTAGTTCCCCCCATGCCCACGAGATCCCTCGTGCCTACTTACAGTTAATCCCCAAGCCCACCTTCAGCCTCAGTCAACCACTAATGTACTTTATGTCTCTAAATTCCAGGTCATGTAATTTATGACTGGCAAGCAATAGAGGCTCCTTCAGAGAGAAACCTCAGAGGGGATTTCAAATGGCTTGGTAACAAAGATCAGGAAGCCTCTCAGGAGCGGGTCGGAAACTCTCTGAAAGTCATACTACTACCAGGCTTGTAGCTTCATTACTTGGTCTATTTCTGATAACTTCAGGGTATAAGTTTGAGCCTCCCTTTTTTACATATTATTTTCTATCTACTCAATGAATATTTCATTTATAAATTATAACTCAAGGTATATGTTAAATATATTTATTAAAAAACATTTCAATATGTAATTTACCAGTGATTGATAGCTTTGACACACTCTCTTACAGTCCAAGGTGAGGTTTACCTCTTGGATATGACTTGCTGTAACAGCGATTTACCTTAATTTGTATGTGGATCTCAGTAAATACTGTAGTCACAGTCAACCGTACTTGATTCTCGTCAAGTGGTCTTAGTTCCCATGACTGGTATGGCATGTTAATATGAGTATCTTGAATCAAAGTAATAGGGCCAAAAATCTCCAGGCTGAATGTTATAAGTCTTTCTCCTGATTTGTAAGATACATTACTGATGCCATCAGTTTTCCAATGTTTACCTTTAGAATAAGTGAAGAAAATGACATAGGTCTCATTTTTTTTCCTATACAAAAAGTTGAGTGAAATAATGACATTGTGTATAAATTTATAGAATAGAATCTCAACAAAAAGTCCACTTTGCTGGGAGTTTCTTCCTGTCTCCTGAGGAGGACCAAGTACGAACTCCCCAGCATAGTATGTAAGACCTTTCAGTGAAGCTTTGACCCACATTCTGGCTTCATCCCTTACCCTCCCTCACACCTGATTTCAGCCACACCCTTTTTCCTTCCCCAATGACCTCATACACCTGTGTACCTCTGCAAATGCGGTTTTCTTCCTAGAGTAATCTTCCTTAATATTTTAAAGAACCTCTTTTTGCCATTTTAAAAACAGCATTAACACTTACCTGTCCTAAGAATACAATGAAATTATTTTAGTACATTTACTCAGTTGTGTGACTATCACCACAATCCAGTTTTAGGACATGATTATCTTCCAGATAAGCGCCCTGTGCCCACTTATAGTTAATTCCTGTCCCCACCTTCCAGCCCCAAGCAACCATTAATATACTTCCTGTCTCTAAAGAGTTGTCTTTTCTGGACTTTTCGTGTAAATGCAATCACATAATAGGTGGTCTTTTGTGTCTCTTATGACTCAATAATACAACACAACCCAGTTAATGGGGGAATAAAGGGCGATAAAGGAGACATGATGTGGGATTGGGAGCACATATTACACCATACGGATGATGTATTATATAGGGTTGTATACCTTAAACCTATATAATTTTACTAACCAATGTAACATCAATAAATTCAGTAAAAAAATGCAACCCAGTTTAAAAATGGGTAAAGGATTTGAATAACATTTCACCAAAGAAAATATATGAAAGGATAATAAATACATAAAAAAAGACGCTCAACATTATCAGTCATTAAGGAAATACAAATTAAAGCCACATGATACCACATCATACCTACTATGATGGTTATAACAAAAAAGACAGAATAAAAAATGCTGCCAAGGATGCAGAGAAATGGGAAAAGTCATATTGCTAGCAGGCATATAAAATGGTACAGCTACTTTGAAAAACATTTTGGCAGTTTCTTAAAAAGTTAGCATAAATTTATCATTCAACTCAGCAATTCCACTCCTAGGTATACACCCAAGAAAGGCAGACATAGGCCCATGCAAAGTCTCATACATGAATGTTCTCTTAGTCTCCTGAGGACCTGTTCAATTCTCTGTCCTTAACTCTCCAGACAGACCCAATCACTGCTCTGCCCTACAGCACTTCTATCTATGGTAGCACCTCACTACATTATGTCATGAGGTTTTCCCTGCCTGCCTCCCCTACAACTTTGAAAACTCCCAGAGGACAGAACACATTTATCTCTGTAGTTTTATTGTTTAGCATATTTGTGCAACAAGTGAATGAACTGTTATTTTCCCAGAATGCTCTCTCCATTTCCACTTGGCTTTCTCCTCACATTTATGGTTCTACTAACTATGTCTGACTCTTTAATATAACAAATACAATTATCCTGACAAAGTTATTTTTATTTCCCCTTTTGTTTTTACATTAATAATTTAATTTGTGAAGGTAAAAATTAAGTATCACCTATAAATAGATCCTCCAAGTTTCTGTTCATTCCAGGCAAAAAGTTTCCTCATGGTTTAAAAAATACTGGAGTTGCATGCTGTGCAATGACTACAGTTAAAGTCAAATTTTACAAGTTATATTTTGCTAAATCATGTTAATAATTTATCTTGTCTAATTCTAATTTAGTGTGAATAATTTTTAATATAACAAATATTTACAAACATCATTAAATGAAAGGGTATGTAAAACTTCTAAAGCAATATAAAAGGAAGACATTACCTAATTGTTTATTTTGAATGTATTTTATAGTTTAATGTATTGTTAAAAATCTGTTTATAATACATAAACTATTTCTAGAATATACATGTTATCTTGTAGCTATGTGTACACAAGCAAAAGCATGGAATATTATAGTAATCATAAAATTATTTAAACTCCAAAAAATTTATCCTTTTTGGTAGAGAAGTTCTTAAATTCTTTGTCTCCACAACTAAATAAATAGATTAAATAGTAGCTCTGTTATTTAGTGATCTAAACTGTTTCCAACCCATCACCAAATACGTACATTCTTTCACAAATAAACAGATGAATGTAAAATAACTCCCATTAAAAACAAAGCTTACACCTTTCATCTAGGAACCTCCACACTGCATACGTTAATTCACAAGACCAAGACCTTCAAACTTCAACCAGCCAAGCCAAAATAGTATATGATTATAGTATATGATTATACTATATACTAATAGTATATGATTATACTATATACTAATAGTATATGATTAGTTAATGATTAGTGAATCATTACTTAGAATTTCTATTAGTACTTCTGATTTATAATACTTATTTAACATTTGAATATGCAGTATTTTCCTGTTTCAACAATTAAAAGTTTTAAAGAGGCACACAGTCGCTAGTTTTCTTCTTTCTTAGGTTTCCTATATGTCCACTTCCCATCCCCAATACTTCAATACTTAGTTGTAATAAGATTTATAATTTACATATTTCTGGCCAAGACAGAGATGTAGGTAGACACACTGTGCCTCCTTACACAACCAAAAGAAGGACAACAACAAATCTAAAAATAAAAAACAACCAGAACTGTCAAAAAACCAAACTGCATGGAAGTCCAGCAACCAAGGAGTTAAAGAAGAAACACTCACCCAGACCAGTAGGAGGGGTGGAGATTGGCAGCCGGGCACACAAGCTGGTGGCGGCTGGAGAACCAGGGAGGTAGCAGCATGCGAACTGGGCAGTCCCACATTCGCGTGCAGATAAACTGGGAGGAACACCTGGGGAGTGAAACAGACCTCTCAACCTGGGTTCCCAGTGCAGGGAAATAAAGCCTCAAGCCTCTGACTGAAAACACCTGTGGGGGTTGAGGAGCCAGGAGAAACTGCCAGCCTCACAGGAGAGTTTGTTGTTGGAGAGATCCACAGGGTCCAAGAATGTACACAAACCCACCCACCCAGGAATTAGCACCAGAAGGGCCCAATTTGCTGTGGGAAGCAAGGGAAGTGACTGAAAGCTGGCAGCGAACAGAGCAAGTGGTACTGTTCCCTCTCTGACCCCTCTCCCACATACAGCATCACAGGGCAACAACATGAGTTAGCCCACCCTGGTGAACACCTAAGGTTCCACCCCTCACTACGTAACAGGTGTGTCAAGACAAAAAAAAATGGCCCAAATGAAAGAACAGATCATAGATCCAGAAAAAAATACAACTAAGCAATGAAGAGATAGACAACCTATCAGATGCACAGTTCAAAATACTGGTAATCAGGATGCTCATAGAAGTGGTTGAATATGGCCACAAATTAGATGAAAAAATGAAGGCTATGAAAAGTGAAATAAAGGAAAATGTACAAGGAACCAACAGTGATGGGAAGGAAGCTGCGACTCAAATCAATGGTTTGGAGCAGAAGGGAGAAAGAAACATTCAATTGGAACAGAATAAAGAAACAAGAATTCAAAAAAATGAGGAGAGGCTTAGGAACCTCCAGGACATCTTTAAACATTCCAACATCCGAATCATAGGGGTGCCAGAAGGAGAAGAGGAAGAGTGAGAAATCAAAAACTTATTTGAAAAAATAATGAAGGAGAACTTCCCCAATCTGGCAAAGGAAATATATTTTTAGGAAGTTCAGGAAGCTCAGAGAGCCCCAAAGAAGTTGGACCCAAGGAGGAACACACCAAGGCACATCATAATTACATTAGCCAAGATTAAAGATAAAGAGAGAATCTTAAAAGCAGAAAGAGAAAAAGAGACAGTTACCTACAAAGGAGTTCCCATGAGACCATCGGCTGATTTCTCAAAAGAAACATTACAGGCAAGAAGGGCCTGGAAAGAAGTATTTGAAGTTAGGAAAGGAAAGGACCTACATCCAAGATTACTCCATCCAGCAAAGCTATTATTTATAATAGAAGGGCAGATAAAGTGCTTCCCAGATAAGGTCAAGTTAAAGGAGTTCATCATCACCCAACCCTTATTATATGAAATGTTAAAGGGACTTATCTAAGAAAAAGATAAAAAATATGAACACTAAAATGACAACAAACTCACAGCTATTAACAACCAAACAAAAAAAAATCACAATAACAAAAACAAACTAAGCAAACAACTAGAACAGGAACAGAATTACAGAAATGGAGATCACAAGGAGGGTTAGTAGTGGGGGAGTGGGAGGGGGAGAGAGGGAACTGGTACAGAGAATAAGTAGCACGGATGGTAGGTAGGAAATAGATGGGGAGGTTAAGAATAGTACAGGAAATGTAGAAGCCAAAGAACTTTTACATACAACCCATGCACATGAACTAAAGGGGGGAAATGCAAGTGGGAGGAGGTGTGCAGGGCAGAGGGGAATAAAGGGGGGAAATGTGACAACTATAATAGTATAATCAATAAAATATATTTTTAAAAGATTTATAATTTATAAATCATTAACTTTAAAATAATCAAATTTTAACCCCAATCTGAATTGTAATTCTTCAGAGATTATGGCAAATATAAACAGTGAGTCATAAAGTTCAATAAATTTTTAAACTCCAAACCCTATTTATTTCCACGGAGAGCAAATAAAAAATAGACCCCAGAACTGGTATAGAAATATGTAAGAATAGTTTACTTACTGCATTTCCTATATTGATTTAAGAATTTATATTAGTATATCTTTTTCATTACGTAATAATCAAAGCTAGTTAAAGGTGTTGCTGTACCTTCAGCATCCCATCTTGCAATCGTAGGATTCTCAAAAAAGATCACATTCTTATGAACCTCAAGCATGATGTCTATAGGTGGGAAAGCATTTTCTGTTTCAAGGTCTTCTGTAGTTGCTGGAGGATATACATATTTCTGTAATCCTTCTTTGACTATCTTTTCAAAATAACCAAAGCAATACCAAGTTAGAAGCAGACTGGTAACAGTTAAAGACGTAAATATTGGTGAATAAGCTATATAGTTATTATTTTTATTATTGACACTATTAGAGATATCTTCCATTTCCATCCCCCTTTGCCCCTTCCATCCAGTTCCTGCCCCCCCACACTAAAGTTCACTCCCATTTAATTATAGATTAAGTAACAAAATGTCATGACGAAATTAAAAGATAATGACTGAGAGGGAAAAAATCACTATATTTGAATGTAATTAAAGAGCCCTTTTATGGGCCAAGTACTAGGCTGGGACTTACTCAGCACTGTACTCCCCCAAGCAGTTCTACAGGCTTATAGTTAACAAAGAGGGTGACTGGGAATTGGGTAAAAAAGGTGAAAAGACTGGGAAGTACGAACTAGCAGTTACAAATAGTCATGGGGATGTAAAGTCATTACATACTGTAATAACTATGTATGGTGCCAGTTGGGTACTGAAAATATCAGGGGGATCACCTAATGTACGTGACTGTCCAATCACTATACTGTACACCTGGAACTAATACAAAATAATATAGTATGTAAACTGTGAATTTAAATATATTTTTTTTCAAAAAACAAGGTAACTGGGACTTAAATACAGCATGCAATTTGCCAATGATTACAAAATGACTTCATGGAGTCATCAGAACTCAAAAAACAGACCTATGGGACCCCAGGTCCCATGTCCCAGTGCCATGGCCATGGTGTGCAGGTGAAGAGAGAACAAAACAAGTATAAGCAGCCTAACAAGTGTAGATGTGAATGGATGAAAGTAAAAATCATCACACTGTACACCTTAGACTTACATGGCAATTACATCTCAGGAAAGCTGGGAAAACATAAAATAAATTAAACCAAGTGCAAACTTCTCTGGGATAAGGGGGAGCTGTCCATTCTCTAAATGCAACACATATCTAAGTGTAGAAAAAGATCTAGGGAAGGTTCAAAATGTTATAAAACAGAGAAAAAAACTGGATGAGGAAAATTATTGAAAAGATACTTGAAAACAAGTAGGAAGGCCCCTTTGTTGCAGGAGAGAAAAAAAATGAGTGTGAGGGAGGAGACTCTGGGCGCAGATGGAGAGCACAGAGTGGTCGTCTCAGGACATCCTGACAAAGATCTTTGGATGAAGCTTGAAAACCCTAGATCAGGCCGAGACCTCCCTAGAAACAAAGAGTTTTGAAGGCCTACTTTCACCAAAGGAATACCTTCCTTGGACTCCCCACTATCCTTCAAGTATCCTCAAGGTAGGGCAGGCTGATTAAAACAGATTTTTCAAAATGGCAATAGGTCAGATTATCTCCCCCAGGCTTGCTCTAATAAATGCATTCTCCTTTGAGGGGAAAGGGGGAAAAGAATGACAATACCATGCCCGATAGGCTGAAGATCAGTTTGGGGGAGCATGGAGAAATCTTACTCTTTCATGTATAAAGCACAGATGTACACAACCTGTACATGGATACACAGTGTCCCTGTGGCATTAACATTCCATGGCAGAGGTGGGGTTGGCTAGAGAAAAAAAAAATGTTTACAAGAGCTCCTTAGAGAGGTGATAACGGGAAAAACATAAAAGTTGAGAATACTGCTCTAATACAAGAATGCACCAATATCCTAAAGTATGGTTGAGAAGTGCCTGGGAATCTACATACCTGACGTGTTAGAGGAGAGAGAAGAGAGAAAAGAAGGGCAGTGGGGCAGGAAGGGGGAAGGGCCATGACAACAGAACCGGGTATATTTGGGAGCCAAGCTGTGAGGTAAAGTGAAACCAAGTCAGTACTAGTGCAAATGTTACCACTTGTTAAAACAGGAGAGAGGAACGCCTTCAGAGATGATCTAACAGCTGCTACTATCAGCGTCCTTACTACTCCAAGTGTGGTCAGTGCATCAGGAGCACTGGCAACACCTGGATCAGTGCTTCTCAAGCTTCAGTGTGCATATGAATCCCCCGAGGGTCTTGTTAAATGCAAGTTCAGGAGGTCAGAGAGAAGCCCCAAATGATGCATTTAGATGCTGCTGACTGATAGACCACATTTTGTGTATGAAGGGTCCAGACCAGCCATTCTTCAGGTGTGTTTTGCTAAAATACAGGCTGCCGAGTCTCACACCTCCAGAATTTCTGATTCAGCACGACTGAGGTGGGGCCCATGAATTTGCACTTCTAGTGAATTCCTAGATGATGCCAGATGCTGATGTTTCTAGTCAAGGGACCACATGTAGGGAACCACTAATCTAGACCAGAGCCCACAAATTATGGTCCCTGGAAAATGCAGCCCACCACCAGTGTTTGTATATAACGTTTAACTAGAACACACCCATGACCATTCATTTACATATGGCTGTTTCAGCATCACAGTGGCAGAGCAGAGAAGTTGCAACACAGCTGGTATGGCAGCAAAGGTGAAAATATTTGCCACCTGGTCCTTTAAAGAAGAAGTTTTCCAGCCTCTGAAACAGACTATCATTATTAAGGCCAAACTGATGCAATGCAAACACAGTGCTATAGATTCCCAATTAAGTTAATGTGCATGATTCTAGTTTTAAAATCCATATTATTTTCAATTGTGTCCCTTTAGTACTGATTCAAATTTTATAAATTCAAAATGGTTTAAAATTATATTTTTTCCTTTTGTGCTTGCTTAATAGAGTTAAAGTTCATTGTTGGGTGTTAGTGCATTTGAGATAAAGGAGAAGAGTGATAAATTATTTTACTCACAAATTTTAAAAATCAACCTACTTCCATAATCATCCAGCCCTTCACTGGCTTACACTGTGGGGGAAGCTCCAAAATATCCAAGTGGTACACTCCACCCAGAGATGTGAACTGGAATATATCAACCTCATTTTCTTCAAAGAAATACGTCCTTTCAGCAGCATTCTCCAGGAGCAGCAACTGTGCTAAAATTAACCAGATTAGGTCAGCTTCTAAATAGATCATAACATTTTTGCATTTTGGGGGGGAGGAAAATGAAAAATATCTAGTAATGGTAAAGGAAGTTTTTATTTAGCTACTAAAACTTTTCAAAAAAGTAATTAATTCAAAACTACTCACAAAGCTGATCGACCACTGGAGTGGGGACATGCACGTGTGCAGGGAGGTGGGGTGTGGGGAGGGCTATGGAATTTGTATAGAAAAAGCACACGTTATTAAAAGAAAACCTTTAAAAATGTCTTATTGTAGGGGAGGGAAAATAATTTTCCCTGTACTCTTGTGATTTCGTGGCTGAGACCTCTGTAGTAAAAGACATATTATTAAGAGAACAGCAGAATTTTATTAACATGCATGTCTCATGTATACATGAAATATCCCCAGGGAAAAGTAAGTAATTTGAAGAGGTGGCTTAGAACTCCAGCTTACATGGCATTTTATAAATTTGCAGGAAAATGACAGGCAAAGAAAAGCAGTTTGAGGTGGAGACAAAGGCTAGTTCATAGTTTGTTAGGTAGACTCCTCTGGTGCCCTCTCCAGGCTGATGGGGTCTATAGCTGTCTCTGATAGTTACTAAGCTTTGTCCTTCCCAGTAGTGAGGAGAGGAGGGACACCTCTGAATATTTATATTGTGCTTGTAGGCAAATAGAAGGTAGGGAGCTTTTCTTGCATCTGTATCTTTTCAATTGCTTTCAGCTCAAAATAATCCTTATGCCGATGTGGCATATTTGGGGGCAGCATATTCTGTTACCCTTCATTCCAAAAGGTCAAAAATGGTTTCCCACAAAACTTGATAACTGCCAAATTAATTTCTTAAATTTGAACCTCATGGATCTAAATATCCGAAAGAAAAAAAGTGAAATGGTAAAAAAATAAATTTTGGTACATATGTAAATTAAAGCTAATATCTTTTCTCAACAAAAAGAGCCCCAGCTCATAGAAAAACAGGGACAGAAGCTTGAAAGTGAAGAAGCTGGATTGGGTTATCTCTTGTGTTCAAATATTTTATGGGGAAATTCTATGGTTCCATAATTGTCAATACACAATCAGGGGACTATCAGAAGTCACGTATATCACTGGGACCATTTCTGTATTTCACTAAAATTCTATCAATACAGTGCAATGAGTAAGAAAGGGGACAGGTTCCACCCTTATGCAATGTATGGTAATTAACATATCAGTTACTTCCTCTACAAAATGGATATGATAGTAGTATCTATCTAGCAGAATAGGGGGGAATTGTGAGTTCATGCATGTAAAGAGCTCACAACCGGTGCCAGACAGAGTAAAAACGCAGGAATGGTGGCCATATTACTGATCATTACAATTATCCTCACCCACAAAAGGAAGCCCACGGAAATAACACTGAATTCAACCCATGCAGATCAGGCACTGAACATTGATGGAAAGAGCCAAAGGAAAATCCAGTTCAGTGCTTTCCCTTTTTTCCTTGTATACATTTAATATAATGTAGGCTTTAATTAATTTTCCAAAGTATTTAATTACTAATCCATTTACCTGAAAAGAAAGTAAGAAAGCAGACTATGTCCAAATTTAGACATCTATGATATATGTTAATTGGGGATCATCATGTAGAAAACCTTGGTATTATTTACAAAGGTTATGAATTCACTGTAGGATCATATGTTCAACAGGAAAATTACCTCATAAAAGTTATAGAAAATTACAAACATACAAACCTAATTGACTGCAGAAACAAAAGTGTGTTAGAAAAATTAAAGTAGACAAGAAGCCTGTTATGAAAAAATATGCTTAGAACTATATAGAAAATAGATTAATTAGAAGCTACTGGGAAAGCAGCATAATGATAAAGTTAATGAAAAGATGTACATTAATCTCAAACTTTGCAAACTTTGCAATTAATCTCAAAAGATTGCAAATTCACTATCAAAATGATCACTATCATTTTGACATTTTTAAACAATATTGAATTGCTATTTGTCAGAATGAGACTGAGAAATTTCTGATTGCATGTGTGTGCTTGTGAGGGTTTGCGGCAACGCTGTTTACAATGATAAAGAATTCAAAATAACCTTACTGCCTATCAATAAAGATTTAAATAATGTTCCATTATTAGATGGAATTATAGAGCTACTAAAAAGATAGAGTTGCCAATGGGTGCTGACTTAGAATGATGTTGAATATTACTCATTTAAGTAGTATATGTGTTATGTTCTATGTATGTATGTACAATGTATATAGCATAACAAATACTGTTAGGTTGAAAAAAAGTAATTTTCAACAAAAATATTTGTATGATATGAGCCCATGGTTTTATTAAAAACTGAGAGAGAGAAACAGGAGAGGAATCAAGCACAAATAAATTTGTTACTACTGATTACCTCAGAAGAGGGATTATGAAGAATTTTCACTTTAAATATATTTCTGCAACATTTGAATTTTTTTACAACCACCTTGCATTTCTTTTGTAAGCAGCAAATCCCAATCAACTTAAATTCTAAAAGTGTAAGTTAGACAACTACCTGCTGAAACTATTTCACTTAATAATTTCATCTCCAGTTTATACTTTGTGTCTTCAGATTCTTCCTGGGTGGAATCCTACAGAAAACACAAGGACAGATGGGAGTGGCTGTCAGGGTTGGCTTCCGCTCACAGTCGTTCTCCTTCTGTTCCCGCCCCACGGCTGGTGCCTGTTACCTTAATTCTAAGGCCCCAAACTGACACTTGCTCTGGCATAAAACTGGACTTAAAAACCATATTTGAAAGGTCAGTTGAAATGAGAGCACATCTTCACAGACCTTCAGGAAGGCAGGAGACAGCCTGCTCAGACTCTCTGCTGAAAACTGTCAAGTGTAAAACAGAGACACTAGGAAGCAATGCAAACTATAAAAACACTGTTTGTATTTCCATTCTGGTCTTTGCCATGTTATGGATTTTGCTTGATTTTGGCAGTCAGCTCTCTGACAGAGTAATTACAAAGCCTACTTCTGGGCAAGCCTCTTATGCAAACTAAGGGTGCTGTGTGCCAAGTAAATACAAAATATCTCATTATATTGGAGTATAATAAAAATACTACAAGAGGAGGACAAGACAATTAAAATTTTTACCTAAATCTGCCACCAAGTTATCTTGGTGACCTCAATCAAGTCATTTAACAAGCAGGGGCCACACATTTCTGATCTAACAACACATTTAGGAGTCAGCCATGTGCCAGACATACAATACATCTTGCAAACAATCCTAAGAGAGAGCTATTATCTTCATTTTACCAAAAAGGAAAAAGAAGCTTAGGGAGTTAACTGTTCCAAGGGTCAAACAATAAAGTAGAAAATTTTGCATACTGTGAAGCACTAGATAAATGAAGCTCTGTTGTAAAAATTTGGTATGTGTGCTAATATTTGCAAACGGAATGATATCCAGCTAACTTCATTTGATCTCAGCTGCCACCTGAACTTCCATAGCAATGGAATAACCTTATACCAGAATTCTAATCAGAAGCTTAAAGCCAGTTACTCACACCATGCCTCTATCCTCAATCACCATACAAAGCCACGTCACCTTAGCCACGTCCCTTTTCCTTACTCTCATCACTGTATTGCCCTGGGTCTTCCTCTTGACCAGTTTCAACACTATTGCATGCTCTGACAACCCTTTCCACCATGACCCTGAAATTTCTCACTTATTAACTCATTCATTCAAAGAATTTTTACAGAGTGCCTAAATTGGGCAGGCATTGCTAGATGCTAGGGATAACAGAAAAAAATACATGTAAGCTCCCTGACTTAAAGAGCTTCCAGTCTGTTAAGGAAGCAGATAACAAATAGGTAAAACAGTTATGTGGGTGCTGTAGTAAAAAGGGGGTCCGCAGTAGGAATACAAAGGAAGAATATGACTATACTATGGGTGGATGACGACAGAAAATGCTACCCAAAGGTGATGAATTTTGAACTAAATCTTGAAACATAATTAGGTTGTCCAAAAAATGGTGGGAGGCATTCCAAGAGGGAATGAAGGCAGAAAGACCTGAAGCCAAACAAAGGGTCCCCAGCACCCCAAGCAGTCAGGTGTGGTTGGAGTGAGGCATGCTAGGAGGGTGCAAAGATCTGAAGCTAAAGGCAAACAAGGGCCAGATTATGGAGAGCTTTGCATACCACTCTGAAGACTAAAGTTTCTCCTACGGGTAAAGGAAAGCCCACAAAAGGCTTTTGATAGAAGAGTAACATGAGGAACTTTGCATTGGTAAAGATACTCTGGTGGCCAGATGATGAGTGGATTGCTTAGTGAAGAGAAAGAAGTTCAAGGTAAGATCAGTACCTCACTCAAGATAAAAGCAGTCAGAACCATTAGAAGGAGCATATGTGAGATAAGCAAGTAAAATCAACACAACTTGGATGACAATCAGATATAGAAGTAAGGCAAGGGACAGGCGAAGCCTGATTTTTTGTGTTTCTGGCTTAGGTTATAAGGTGGAAGTGGTATAATTATCAAGAAAAGTGGGAAGGTGAGGTTTGGGAAAAAAGTAGTGACTTTGATTGTGGACATGTAAATTTAAGGTGCCTATAACATCAAGGTGGCCTTTGATATTATCTACCATTAAAAAGCCAGTTGCATTTCTCTTACAGGGATTATGATTAACATCTTCAAAGAGTGGAAAATTCTTTAGAAGTTAGACCAAACTGGATGCATGCCTTGCAGGAAAGCTGAGAATTTATAATCTCTTAACAGAACTTCCCCCGATAACCACTGTTCTCCAGTGTGCAACAGCTGGAATTCATCAGCTTCTATACCGTCACGTAACAGAATAATCTTGTATTTAACACATGGCCTTTACGTGATTAAACTTTTTACTATTTTATGTTACTCTTTAGTTCAATTGACATTTTTGAAGTTAGACTTCTTGACGAAGGAGGCAATGTGTCAGTTTGCATGTTGGTGCAGCTCACGAATCTTGGTAACGACTCTAGGACGCCTTCCTGTTCTTGCAGTTGCATCATCAGAACTTATTCATGACTGAACTTAAACTCCAGACCACATTTGTTGACAATATAATTATTCAGAGTTTTTTACATTATAAAACTCCTTGTGTTTGTAGGAAATGGAGATGAAAAACTAGTTTTTTCTTCATATTATCATCATGTTTTATATTTGGCAGTGAGAAGTCCTCTTTCCATAATTGTTTTATAGAATTGGCTATTTTCCATGTATTTTCTTCCACATAAACTCTGACAGGGTTTTATAATCTTTTTTTATTTTATCAATCTTTCAGGTTTATAATAAACCCATAAAGATTACATTTTCTAAAATCATTTGCCTGGAAATGCTGACAGAATATGAAGCAGAGAAATTAGCTAAAGTGTAACTTTTCAGTGACATGTGACTCAGTAGACACAGGAATTGGCTTATGGTGTGGAAGAACTTCATGGGACACCAGCAAAGTAGTTTTCATTGAAACTTGATAAATGCACAGATATTGTATCATGGAAATTTTTAAATCTATATGCAATTTGAATTTGATATAAAAACATAACCTGGATCATAGTAAAAGCACGAGAAACAGAACAGAGGTTCCAGAAATAGATCCTAGAATCCACCTGGGAACCCAGCACATGGTGTTTCAGATCAACAAGCCTAGGTTTGCTTATATGGTAAGTGTTTTGAGATAGCTGGCTAAGATTTGAAATGAAATAAATTCAGATTCTTCCCACTTTGTACTAAACCATATTCCAGATGGATAAAAGACTTAAATGTAAAAAAAAAATGAAAAGCAACAAAAATCATGAAAGTATTTGAAGAGATAGTAGGTGACTGATATAAACAATTATGAATGACATAGCTAATCTGGGTATTGCCCACATCAAAACATCAACAATGAATAATTTACAAATTTGACAGCATGTCTTAAATTTTATTGTCCAGCAAAAGAATTGTTTGAACTGGCTCTTGATAAGGAATTAAAGATGAATTTTGAAAACTTTGCATCATTGCTTCTGTTAAAAATTATGATCTGAAGTTTCCTGAAATCCCATTCATTCCTGTAGCTTTAATACTATCTCTAGACCTGCAATTCCTAAATCTGTGCTATTAACGTTCTTTAGGCCTCACACCTCCTGTACTGCTTAACTCTAGACGTGCAACATTTGCACAGGGACATGGTAGCTGTGCTTGACTTCCCTCAGAACTCCAGGCTCACATGTTCTTACCCGACATTTCCATCTGTGTATCCCAAACTTACCATGACCACAGCAAAACTCTTGTTGCACTGTCACAACCAATTCTGCGTTCCTATCCATCTCAGTAAGTTAAACCACCATCTGCAGTGCCTCCCCAAATAAAAGCTCAGAAGGATTGTTCACTTTACTGCCAGAACGTATCCCAAACATATCCACCTTTCCGCATCTTCCTACCACCTCTGTCCAAGTCACCTTGACCTCTCATGTCTCACAAGTACTATTTAACTGGATGCGGTGCTTCTACCCTGGCCCCTCACAATTCACTCGTGGCAGAGCAGCCAGAATAACCTTTCAAAGCCATCAATCAGATCATGCCACTCACTCTTTTACTTTCAACCCCCTAATGGCTTCCCACTGCATTTACAGTACAATCATAACTTGCTACTGTGGCCTGGATTCCCCTTCACTTGGCCACTGCTTCCCTTCCTGACATCATCGCATAGCCATTTCCCTCCTTGCCCATCATACATCTGTCCACTGGCCTTCCTGGTCCTCTCTTCTGACCTTCACAGTAATTATACATGCAGACTATAATATTTTCACCCAGTCATCATATAGCTTATTCCCTCTGGTCATTCGGGTCTCAGCTTACAGAATAACTCATCATACGGGTCCCCTTCAACCACCCAATCTAAGTAACTCCCTATCACATAATCTTGTTTAATTCTGTGCAGGCATGTATGACTATCTGCTATTGCCCAGTTTTTCTTATTTGTTGTTGGCGTTTCCTGATTTGTATGTATATCAGGAGAGCAGGAATCTCATCTGTCCTTTGCCCACTGTCCCCTGAGGACCAGAACAGTGCCTAGCGTACATAGGTAGACATTCAATAAGTACTTGTTGAACAAGTAAAGAAATAAGAACAAGGTCCATGGTATGACCATGGAAATGGATTGCCGAAGTAAATTTGTGGGAAGCTGAAAGCTGTTGAATGTTAATACTAGGTTTTGGGTTTTTTCTTTTTTTACAATTTTATTTACTTTTTACTTTTAGACAGATGTAAAGAGAGGACGAAAGAGAGGGAGAGAAGCATCAATGTGTGGTTACCTCTTGAGTGCGCCCCTCACTAGGGACCTGGCTTGCAACCCAGGCATGTGCCCTAAACTGGGAATCGAACAGGTGACCCTTTGGTTCACAGGTTGATGCTCAATCCACTGAGCCACACCAGCCAAGGCTAATGCTGGTTTTTTTTACAGGGACCAGTTCCACAGGTTTTTAATTTGTTCACAATCATGCCGTGAAGTCCCCAAGTCTGAGGCTAATTCATGTCTCCATACTTTTCTCTCTATCTAGAGTCATTTCCTTTCCTCCACATGTAAACTCCTCCTTGCCTATCAAAAGATGTAGTGAAAATGTTACCTCATCAGA